CCACCTCAGATTGGGTTCAGGTGGATCTCGAGTTCCAACGACACCTCCGTGAGGTCCTATGGGGATCCGGTGCGGAGCCTGGGCTTATGGCCATTTTGGCCTCCAGAAGAGCCCGTCAAGCAGAGCAAAGAGCGGAATTGAATGGCATGTTCATGCATGGGTTTCGGCTGCGCATGCCATTGTCGATGTTGTGGTTTCCAGGGTGGTCCTTCGGTGCCGCCCCCTTGGAAACTTGGTGCGAGACGGTTTCTCAGGCTGAGCAACAGAGCAAGGCCTGTGCGGATGGAGTGGCCCGCCCGCTGCTCTTTCAGGACCACCGACATTTCTCGGAGAACCTGATTCTTCACACTACTGATGCGGGGGAGGCCTCTGCGATGGACGCCCTATATTCAACTGAGCTCCTGGAGAGCCCGGCTTGCTGCACCATGACGAGGGGCAGCGACGACGGCACGGCGACACCCGCCGATTGCCAGGACAGTGACGACGCAGACTCAGACGACTCCTGGATGCCGGCTTTGGACGACTTGGNNGGCGGCACGCAGGGAAGGTTACATACTACCTATTATCTAGCAAGTATTTACAACATAACCAAACAAAACGCCTGTAGATACCGCATAAAAACACGGGTTAGGGATTTCACACATCTGTTGGCAAAATCTGGCGGAAGTGGGCCGCGACCGAGCAAAGTACCTGTTAATACCGTGTTAAAGCGACGGCTAGGGATTTCACACATCTGCTGGCACAATCTGGCGGAAGTGGGCCGCGACCGAGCAAAGTACCTGTTAATACCGTGTTAAAGCGACGGCTAGGGATTTCACACATCTGTTGGCAAAATCTGGCGGAAGTGAGCCGCTGCCGAGCAAAAGACTTGTAAACACCGTGTCAGAACGACGGTTAGGGATTTCACACATCTGTTGGCAAAATCTGGAGGAAGGAGATCATGAATAAGATGGAGATGATGAAGATGATGAAGATGAGGACCGTCCAGCCGTTAAAACACAACTGGACGGCCAGTCGTGTTTTAGCTCTTGCCAGTCACAAGATTTGCCAGGAAAGCTAGCTGGAGTTGTTGTGCAAGTTATAATATTGGAAACAGCATCACAAAAAATAGTAGAGCATCATGTATGCAAGTTGTTTCACCGATCATTATATCAAATCAGAGACAGTACTACCTGCCTGCTTGTGATTGAAAAGTTCGTACAAATCTGTTTCCGGTTGCATGATAGAGACAACTTTGCTGCCATGTGATATGTTGGGTTCCGATGGCATGGATGTCGGCTATCAAATTAACGTCCTGACGTGTATTGATGTTCCATATATGACAACATCACCATGCCCGAATGTCGAACTGCATGGAAGTTCGGTCCATGAGATGGTGATAACTATTGGACTGACTCGTGAGAACATGCATACAGGAATTTATGCATGCTGACCGAGAAGCCAATCTTCTATTGCCTTTATAAATTCTTTATGGAAGTATATCTGCAAACATGTGCCAAACTTTGCGGAGTACTGTCTGTGTATTGCTTCGTACATGTGTAGGATTTAGCTAGGGATTTTATATTGTATATATATCAGGCTAGCTAAATAGACCCTAAAGGTATCGGGCTCATACATATATACATATATATATATATATATCATGTACACATGCTCCGAGCAGCTTGCAAAGATTAGCTTGTGTGCGAGTCTGGGCAGAGCAGGGGTACTTGTTGGTGCCACTCCTTGCGCATGCAAAGTCTGGGCAGGCATTGTGGCTTAACATGGGACCAGGCATGCTCAATCGGCAGTTTTCATCCTCTCATGGTTCCTTATCCTAAGGTCCTGTAGGCTCCCTCTTGTGAGAAGCTCCCACATGAGAGCTTAGTTTCACTCTTACACAAAATGCACGGGACAAGTGTTGAGCATAGTCGAGCTTTGCTCCGCCATGTACTGAACACGGTCTTGGCAGAGCAGGTGGAGGACGGCCGGAAAGCCGCACCTCTTGAAGAATTTGCAACTTTAAGCGTTTGTCAGTTGAACTGCACTGTGGCGTGATGTCCCAAATCTCCAGGATCCAGAATGACAAGTCAGCCACGGCCAGTTCAAAGGCTACTGGCAAAGGCTCGGGCGTACCTTAGACGGCACACTTGCGGCAGCGTGGAGATGCGAAGCGCAGGTAGACGAAGCAGCCGTTGCAACGGCTCCAAAGGCTTGCATCTCTTGCGATTGTTTGTCCTTCTTGCTGCGGGTTTTGTCCATTGACTGTGTGCGCGGCAGGTGACAGCATGCAAGTCATTGGCCGTAACAGTGTCATTGGTGGCTTGGCAGAACAATTCAGTGTGTGCTGTTTTGGCCTTGATTACATATGGCTGGTTGCCTCCCTATTGAGGCTCTCATTCTGTATGGCCTAACACTTCTGGCTCTGGGCTCGCTTCTTAGCACGACCCTCTCGCCTCCAGAGCACACGGTCTTCTCCTTCCAGGACACGCGTGCGAATCTCATTGACCACAGGTGACTCTTCAATCCATGCAGTCAGACAATAGGCTTGTTGATGTGACGACCACATATCTGAACAGGTTGCTGGACTAGATTTAATTCACTTTGCACCAAGACCGTCATGAATTGACTTGTGAACCGCCGGACATTCTGCACTACTCACATGAACCTCGCTGCGTGCATGCAGCGAGCACCATGATGGGGAAGTCTCAGACTTTCGATAGCAACTTCTGTGCAAGCAGCTGGTCAGCAACTGTGCTGGACATGTCTACTGAAGTGGCATCATCATCCTTGGCTGTGGCATGGTTTCTTTACGGCTTCTTTGGCACAAAATCTAGGTGTACCCACGACAAATAATTGCGGTGCTGTACCGCGAGGGTAGGGAACACAGTATCATCTTGACAAGTTTCTTGTCGGGAAGCTTGTACCATCAAACAGCTGGGCTTCATCCATTTGCGCAGGAGCTGCCGGCAGGTGTTGACACAGTTCTGCTGGATCTCAAGTCCTGCATGGTCGACATAATTCCCATGGCAGGCCTCTTGGCGGAGCAGCCTCATTAATGTTCAGAACTAGTTTATTCAGGATGCTGTTGTGAGTCGGCTGCATCTGAACGGCCTTTGTGACAAACTCTGAGCTCAGCCGGAGCTATCTTGCTGGGGCAGGTGACGGAGTGTGTTGAGTCGATTCGAAGGGCGCCCTTGTGTGCAGCTCTGGCTCTGGCGGAGGCGGGCTTGAAGGCTCCAAAAGACCTCTGCAAACCTCAGTAGATCTCAGTAGCAAGTTACACATTACCATCGATATTTCAGACTGTGAAACTGCTGTGGTTCGTCCAGCCATGGCTAGGATGGCAGCTGCAAATGCAGCATAGGATGCAAGGAGCTAGAAAGGCACACGGCCGAGGGCTGCTCGAAGCCTTGCAGCGAGCCTCGGCCGTGTGGACTCCGCCCTGACAGATGGCAAGGCACGCTGCAAACACCACGCAAAGAGGAGTTGCTTCACCAGGGACTTGAATGGTGGCCATGGCCACACCGACGCCGTTCACGGGCCGGCCAAAGCAAAGAGCAAGAAACCGGCGTAAGGCCTGCTGGCAGTGCCGTGACCTGCTCTTGCATCGACAGCATGCTGTGGAAGAGGGCATCAGCGTGGCCAGCCAAGCGAGTTCAGCTACCAATCCAGCAAACTCAACCAGACCCGGCTAGCTCAACCAGGCCAATTAGCGCGGCCAACCACCCAGCCTGCAGCTGAACCAGCGAGCTCAGCCAACGCAGCTAGCCCGTGCAATGGAGCGCAGTTGTGGGGTGGTATAGGATACATATTCTGGAAGAGCCCAAAAGTCGACGAGTCCCAGTTTCTTGCAAAGGCGAGCCACTGGACCCGGACCCAAGTTACGATATGTTCTATCTTTGATGTTGATGGCCGCATCGCACGCCTTTGAAGCGCACGCCAATGAACAGCTCCTCTGCCATGGTCGGGTGCTGGTCTCCTACAGCCTTAGTTGAGCTGAGGAACTTGCGTTTTTACATGGTAGGAAGCCGATGTGGCTAAAGCAGCGAGCTCCCCATCGGACAGACTTTTTGTGGGGCTTCTTTGGACCAGGTGTCTCCGTGGCAAAGTGGCTTCACTTGGTCACGCCAGCCTGGTTCTCCCAGCAGATAGCACCACCGCTAAGGTGCCCGATAGTGTGCGAAACAAAAGATATGCGTTTCTTGCAGCTTAGCTCCCGCAACTTCGAGGCCATTGTGGTCCTTCCTGTTTTCTGAGGTCCTGGGTTGTCATTCACGGAGACTACGCTTGGCAGCAGCGCGGCATCTGTCAACCAGGACGCTAGTGCTGGTGCTCATCCTGTGCGCTGCTAGCATGTTCTTCCTTCCTGGAAGCTACTACTGTGCACATGCTGTAAACTTCCCCCTAGCGCCTGAAGCACCCTCACTTGATGATCAACATGTATCTTGGAGATCGCAAGTTTGCAAGAGTTCGATCGAACCGAACTGACATGGAACAGCCTGCCCACCCTGGCTTCAGCTGCAGCCCTGGTGCAGCTGACGCCAGCATGAGCATCCCTCGAATTGTGAAGCATGGCAAGTGCAACTCACACAATCTGTCGCAAGCTAAGCTGAGGTCGAGTGAAACTCTTGAACATACTCCAGCATGTCAGTCGTAGGCAGTTGTAGTCTGCAGTGCAACGTAGTTTGGGCCCAGTTGTATTGTAACTCGCATGCCTGCAGATGCCACTTGTTGTATGTACTGTCGTGCATTGGCTTAGAGGAAGGCTACATAGAAGAGCCTCTTGAGCCATGACTGTAATCTACTATTGTAAAGCTGTACAGTAGCTTGTTGGTTGTCCTTGTCTGCAATTGCTTGTATAAGTGTTGATCGTGACTCGCCTCTGCGCCCAGCCATAGAAAACAGTCTGCGTGAGTTTCGCTGGAAGGGTATGGCCACTCAGGGCGAACACCTTCAACAGAAACCCTAAACCCGAAAACCCTAAGGTAGCTTTAGCCAGATGGTGTGCGCGTCTTGAAATTCGCAGCTATTGATTCTATCACAAGCTGCGGCGGGTGGGAGCAGCACCACCACCACCAGCACGAGCACCATCACTATTATATCAAACTATATCTATCATCACCATGCTCACCATCAGGATCACAATTGGCCATGTGGTAAGGCCATCAGGAATAATGATATTATGATTACTATTGGTATTATAACCAAAAAGTACTTTCTCAGTACATGAGCAGCTTCAGGCTCAGCGCCAGGATTCGTGTCACCGTTGCCAGCCGCATCATCATCTTCCTTTTGGTCCTCGCGTTGTCTTTTTGCATTCCTTTTAGTGCCATGAAGTTCACTGGAATCATGAGCATCATCAGCTATCTAATCCAGCGTCGTCTGGCATCACATACCCACAATGTTGCATACATCTACTAGCTTCTATCATGCCTGTCAGTGCGTTGCATTCCCAGCCATTATCAGCATCAGCTACAAGGCAACTATTGCGCTACAAACATCATAAGCACCCTTGTCATGGCCGGGGTCATTGGTGTTGTCCTGTCTGTCATGACCTCCGCAGTCATCACCATGGCAATAATCAGCTCCAGCGTCATCTTTCGCAGCAACCAGCGGAATGAAGAGTGTCATTTTGCCCGTCACCGACCGTCCTGGGCTATCCCCCACCCATTGCCATAACCTTAGTTTGCGGGCAGTATGATTATCAGCATCACCATTAACATAATCATCATAGTTACTAGAGTCGTCTTCATGATTGTCCATTCCGATCATTGTCGTCGCTGTTTGCATCATCAGTACCGTTCCTATCATCCTCAACATCATCATCATCAT